TACTTGTAGATACCACTGCTGTGTTCAGCAATGCACAGCGTCAAAAATTGAACTCTTACCTTAGTTTCCACACGTTTCCAAAAGACAAAGTCGTGCAGAAGAGGTGGGTTGTTGATATTAAACGTGAGAATTTTACAGAAACAGAAAAAAAACAAGAGTGTAGCTGACAATTTCAGTCTAGAAAACTGATCGAGGCTCGAGTGCCAACCGGATGCAGACATTTAAAGAAAGGAGCTTTTATGGCAAATAATAGTTTATTTTCATTGCCTTTGAAGTAAAAAAAAATGAACATTAATATACATAAACATTTCTTAAGCTACTTTCTAAGTGCAATTTTTTAATTCAGAATAAAGACCTTTATTTTATTCACTGTACATATAAAATATAATTCACTGTATGTAATTTGAAATAAATTGTCAAAAAAATGTAACATTTTGAAAAAAATATTTTATTCAGATGAACAGAAAAAATGACATTGAATCAGTTGTTTTCTTGAATCAGGTGCTTCTTCTGTAACTTGTGCATAGAGAGGTATTTGGGCTTATACGTATTAAATAAATAAATAAATCACCCATCTGTTTCATGGAACTTAACACATAATTGATCCATTCCAAACAATTGTTCATGTGACAACACACATTACACATTTCAGAGTAATGGGCTGTCTGGAAAAGCAAAGCAACCAAATGTTTGCATATCCCACTCTCAGCCACACAAGAGCAGGAGCTATAAACTAGCAGACGATGGCATGGATCTTCTGACGGATGTCCGCTCCAGGATGAAGTTACACATAAAATTTTCTAGCTCTGAATCTCATAATGTTACCTAGAAAACAGAAACAAGAATATTAATAGGTTTTTTTAATAGAGTCATTAAAGGCAGATCACTCAAAACTGAAAATTCTATTTCCTCATCCTTCACTTGTTTCAAACCTGTTTGAGTTTCTTTCTGATGTTTAACACAAACAAAAATACTTTGAAGAAAGCTGGAAACTTGCAACCACTGATATTCATAGTAGTTCTTTTTCATACTATGGAAGTCAATGGTTACAGGTTTTCAGCTTTCTTCAAAATATCTTCTTTTTAAAGGCATCTGCAGCAATATCATCAGATTAAACTACACAGTAAATAATTAATTTAAATTATTTAAAAGTAGCTCCCTTTAGTCACACTTTAAAATAAAGTTTCATTAATTAATGTATTTGCTCACTATTAAAATAACTATTTAATATTTAATAGTTAACATTGTTAAACTAATTTACTAATGAATAAAAATCCAAAGTCATGCTTGTTAACATTAGCTATTACATTGTGAGTTAACAAGCACAATGAATAAGCATTTGTTCATTAATGTAAAAAACTAATAAATATTGCAATAGACAAATTGTTGATGTGAAATTAACTAATGACACCTTATTGTTTTGGGTCACCCTCCCATTTAATTACAATGTTATCGACTAAATAGAAAGCATGCTATCTACACTGTTACACTGCATCTGTCATCTCCACTGTTTCAGCAATAAATATCAGCATTGACACAGTGCTATTTGTCTGTTGTGGATGGAACGGCATTGTATTATTTTATTCCTAATATATCTTGCTCAATAATCATGCTTACAAGCTAAGACAGCATCTGTGTTTCTGTAATTATCCGAACTGAATGGGACAGAATTTCACATGTGTATGCTGTCCTACTCTCAGCTGGTGAGGAGACTCCGATTTCTTCATAGACCTATCGGTAGTAATGAGCTCTCACTGAGATCTTATTCCGGCCCTGTTTTTACCTGACACTTTGAGACAGAATTACATACACATATGATTACTTTTACTTACGTGATAAAGCTGCAGATGGACGGATCGTAAGAGTATTAACGCTAAAGTTAGCCTTCAGGCTAGCTGAACTTACCTTCATAATTGCACAGGTAGGAAGATGCATACAACTTGAAACCCTTCTCAAGCTTTGCTCTGCGGTGTTGTAGAGCACATCCGGACAATCATTTGCACATCGTTGACCATAATTTACTCGCAAACAGCGAGTAAATATTGACGACTCTGCCATAATACTGTTTACCTCCGCTTAAAATCACCCAGACCGGAAGCTGGACCGCGGCCTTAGACAAAACGCGGAAGTAACGCGTGCATATAGCCCATTCCAGGGGTTTCATTACCACGACGTAAAATGGGCGTGGCTCGGTCGGTGTTTGGGAAACGCCCCCTTAAAAAAAAAACAATACTGAGAGGTCACCGATCATGCGCAGTACAGGTTCTTTTTTAGCGCGGTCATTTCAAACAGGATGATTATGGATAAAGAACCTACCGCGGTGGATAACGAGGGAAAAAAACAATCATACAGGTTATTTTTTTGTTTTTATAATCTTATATTTTAAAGATTTCATTAGCAAAACCGGCTGACCTCGTTTTACTCCGTTTTTCTGTCTCTGGGCTTTTGTACTTCCATTTTAAACCAAATAATAATGGTTGTGGTAAGATTAACCGTGTTTTTGTAGTTTAAAATATGGTATTCAGTCATGTTTAAACAAATAAATACCACATTTTCTGTAATAAATCGTGGTTAATTTTTCTTTCTCGATCTTATTCATATTTTATTATATATATTACATATATTATATATTATACATAAATTATATCATATTTATTTTCTATTTTTATTTAAAGTCATCATACACAAAACAACTGGGATCAGGACAGGTATCTGATGTTAACTAATATAAAAGTGATCATACATGAAACCCCTGGGATCAGGACAGGTATTTGATGTTAATATATATAAAAGTGATCAATGATCATACATAAAAACCCCTGGGATCAGGACCGGTATTTGATGTTACTGTATATAATATAAAAGTGATCATACATGAAACCCCTGGGATCAGGACAGGTATCTGATGTTAATATATATAAAAGTGATCATACATGAAACCCCTGAGATCAGGACAGGTATCTGATGTTAACTAATATAAAAGTGATCATACATGAAACCCCTGAGATCAGGACAGGTATCTGATGTTACTGTATATAATATAAAAGTGATCATACATGAAACACCTGGGATCAGGACAGGTATCTGATGTTACTGTATATAATATAAAAGTGATCATACATGAAACCCCTGAGATCAGGACAGGTATCTGATGTTACTGTATATAATATAAAAGTGATCATACATGAAACACCTGAGATCAGGACAGGTATCTGATGTTACTGTATATAATATAAAAGTGATCATACATGAAACACCTGGGATCAGGACAGGTATGTGATGTTAACTAATATAAAAGTAATTATACATGAAACCCCTGGCATCAGGACAGGTATCTGATGCTACTGTATATGATATATAAAGTATTTGACACAAAAGCCGTGGGATCGGGACAGGTATCTTAAGTTATAACAGTATTAATGTAATCTGAGAGGTATCTTAAGTTAATTTGTTTAAAATAACATACACTGACTTCACATGAAACCCCTGCGAATACGTACAGGTATCTGAATCAAACGGCTGTTTTCACAATCTGCGCATGATCCGTGACCTATGCAAATTCACATATAGGCCACGCCCACTCGATGACGTAGTAGCGGTTACGCTGTACTGAAACCCCTGGAAAAAAGTGCCTGCCCATATAAACTGGAAATGCTCAGTATTTTAACAAATTCACATTTCTGTAGTTGACACAGATACAACAACAGTATTGTTTTCTAACATACACTCATAAAATGCATTGGTCAAGTAAATAAATGGCAAAAATCCATAAAAGTTTAACATTTTTAGATGAACACTGTGTTGAGTAAACATAACCTCAGATTAGTGGCTCTTCATCAGACCCTGTGATAGTTATTAAAGAGATGATTTACCCCAAAATGAAAATTCTGCCATCATTTACTCATCCTTTACTTGTTACAAACCTGTTCGAGTTTCTTTCTTCTGCTCAATACAAAATAAAAAGACATTTTGAAAAATCTTTAAACCTGTAACCATTGGCTTCCAAAGTAATTGTTTTTACCATGAAAGTCAATAGTT